CCCCCCCCCCCAAAAAAGAGGCGGGCCCGTCTGGTTTAAAAAAAAAAAAAAAAAAAAATCAGAAAACACCATGTAAAACATCCAGTATTTTCTGTTTCTCCTGGCTCGGGCGTTCGCCGGAACATGCGCAGCTCAGGCTGGCTGGGGTGGAGTGGGGTGGGGAGGATGGAGCGTCCCGGGCAGACTTCAAAATGATTGCCTTAAAAGGCCAATGCCTGCTCTGCTCTTAAAATGGCAACTTTTTTTTTTGGTCAACAACTTTTCCCCTGGAGTACCAGCACCGTGTTGTGGGGTTGTGTTTTGTTGTGGTTTTTTTTTTTTTTTTTTTTTAAAAAAACACTGGTCCCAGGAATTGAAGGGGCTGCGACTGTTTTTCAGCCCCAGTCAGTTTCTTTTTTTTTTTTTTTGCTCAATAAGTTTTGCTGATATTGGGGGAGGGTGTGAGGATTTCTCAAAAATCAAAAAGGGAGAGTGATGCTGAAAAGTTTGAGAACCACTGCTTTAGGTGCTGTCATATTCACCTATTTTTCAGTCCTATATTGGGCAAGTATAACTATGTATTTATGGACTAACATAAAAGTGCACTGCCATAACCCAGTTAAAAATTTTTGACATGAACAACTTCAACTGACTAAAGCTGCAACTGATAGTTAAATCTGGTCCAAAAATTAAGGGAAAAACTGAAAGCATTGACAAAATTTGAACCTCCATTTTTCTCCCCCAGATTCACCTTCAATAATTAAGGTTACAATTATGTCATCGAGGTGAGAAAAGTCACAAAATCCATGACTTCCATTGACCTCCTTGATATTTTCGGCCCCTGGGCTGAGTTCCCAGCCAGCTCCCCACCCCCTGCAGTGCCCAGCCCCCACACTGGTGCGGGCACCCCAAGGCAAGGGGACCTCGCAGCAGCCAGGCCACGTACATCCTACTCCCCACAGTAGCAGGCTCCCATTGATCACAGCAAGCCGTTGAACCCATCTCCCCATTTTGTCAGGGATATTTTTAGTGAAAGTCAGGGCTTCTGTGACTTTTTGTTTACTGCCAGTGACGGGTCCATGACTTACTAAAAATATCCCAGACAAAAATTTAGCCTTAAATTATTTATAGGAGTGCTGTAAACATACATGGTGCTTTAGAAAAGTAGAAAGATGTGATTCTCTTCCCCAAAGAACTGTAAAACAAAAACAAATAAAACCACAGGCTAACAGTTCACATACACGAAATTGAGAGCAGGTTATGATTGTACATAACAGATTGCATCAGCACATCTCTGAGCTACACCCCAGGCATCCCTATCCCCGTCATCATCATGAGCCAATCAGACCCATGGATGACAAAGTTCCAGAGTGTTGCTTCCCAAGACTGTGTCATGAAAGCCCTGGCTGAGGTGGGTGCTTCAGTAGCTGCAAGCTGGAGTTGTCTTCTTGCAGGCAGATGGGATGGTACAGCAAGAGGAGGTATGAGGTTGCTGAGGCCAAACAGTCAAAAATACCATAGTATCCCCTGCAGCCAGGAATGAAGGAGAAAAATCCAACCCAGGTTAAACACAGCCACCATAAAAAGGAGAGTTCAATCCAGCACAGGCTGGTCTCAGTGGTGACAGAACAAGGAGCAGTGGTTGTACTGGGGAAGGTCTAGGAAAAACTATTTCACTGAATCACTGGAATGGGTTGCCTAGGGACATGGTGGAATCTCCATCCTTAGAGGTTTATAAGGTCCAGCTCGCCAAAGCCCTGGTTGGGATGATTTAGTTAGGGTTGGCCCTGCTTCAAGCAGGGAGTCGTATTAAATGACTTTCTGAGGTCTCTTTCACTAAGACTACACTGCACCGTAGTTTGAAATAAGATACACAATTTGAATTATTCACATTCTTATTTGGATCTTATTTTGAAATACCTTATTTTGTAATTTGGCACTGTCTACACAGCACCAACTTTCAAAGTAACCCGCTATTCTGAAACGTTCCTTACTCCTTATGGAATGAGATTTACAGGGATGTCAGAATAGTGAACCCGAAATAACAAGTTTGCTTTTAAAACACGGGAAAGCTATTTTGGGATACTCTGGCGTCCCAAAATAGCGTTGCAATGTAGACGTAGCCTTCCAATTCTAATCTTCTATGATTCTTCTGCTCACCCAATACTACTGTATCTATACTTAATTTTTTTTAAAGTGAAAACATTTCAAGTTGATAGACCAATCTTGTTTCAAAATATAATCTGGAAAACACATGCTGAACAAACTAAGATTAAGTTTAGGCTGTGAAATCATTAAATATAAATTGCATTTCTTTAATAAGATATTATATAGAAATTACATGGCAAATCACATTTTCATTTGTTCAAAGCAGAATGCATGAACCTAACTGTTATCTATGATTTACTTTATTAAAATCTTGTGATCACAGGCTTCAATATCAAGTAGTATATTTTAAGGATGCACATTTGCTATTAACTTGCCAATAGCTCAAATCACCTGTTACAGCACAAGCACAGCATCTGTTGTAAATAAGCAGCTGCCAAAACAGAAACAAAAAGTCCTGTGTTTCTACTGCATATTGACCAAAAAATGCAGTTTAAACATTACAGCCACGAGGTCTTTGTACACCGCCTTACCTCAGAATCATCAGTAGATTCTTCATTAGACCTGGTTTCCTGAAAGTAATAATATAAAAAAAAAGCATGAAGAAAAAAAATTCAACATCCGTGCAAAACAAATGATTATTTTTCTTTATTTAATCTTACAAGCCTTTTCATTAAAAACAAAAGGTAAACAGAATTTCAAGTGACTCTGAATGTGTTACAGATGAATGATTATCTTTTCTGTTTTGCTTGTTTATCCATACCCACTCTGTTTAGGACTCCTAACCTGGTGCCACACTGACACTCAGTGGCACTGTTTGGCTGAGATGATACTGTTCACTACCCTAAAGCAGACAGCAACTAATACCAACCACATCATTCTAGCAATGTGCATCATCTAAGGCTCTAAGCAACAGTCAAGTGCTTGTGAAAGGTTTTCCCTCACCAGCAATGGACAATCAATCTTGCAAAGCAATCTCCAGCAGCTTGGCCCACAAGACAGAACTACATGCTCAAGGGAGTCACAGGCCAGCTTCTCAATTTAGCTACTATTTGGCCATTCATTCACTGACTTATCTTGAACAGCCTAAGTCTTTTATTTAAGGATGTAAAATCCTGTTTAAATAGTTAACCAGTTAAACATGATGGGCAGGAAATCAGCCCCTGTCCATGATGGCCCCGAAAGGGCTGGAGCACCCTCTGCCAGCAATAGGTGGGGAGTTGCGGCAGCCAAGACTGTAAAGATCACTCATTAAGGGTGATGCTTACAGTTTAAACTTTCACATTCCTACTTTCACAGTTTCCCAAAGAATTCTAATGAGGATGGAAATTAAATAATAACTCTTCGACTTACGCACAATTCACAGAGTGCCTTGCTCAAACCCACAAAGAAACTGTGCCTTTAAAACATCTGCCTTTCAAGACAATGAATCTTAGCATCCTACAAAAAAAGAGAAGAGCCTACTCTTGCTAATCTCTCACCTGTCCACTACTGAAATCTGCTGATGCCATGCCTCCTCAAAGAGGTCAGCAAAATGAAGATTTACTTAACGTATTTATAGTTATCAATAGCAATAAAAGGTTACAACTAATATGCTGACAGTGAACGTAAGCATTTTAACAACAGCCCATGATTTAAACAAAGAACCAACAAAGAGAGAAGTAGTATTTCAAATACTATGAAGTAATATTTTGACAATAAGATATTTAGGTACAGTATTTCATGAGAGACAAAGTTACAGACAATGAGAAAAAGAGATGAAAGGGAAAGAAAATCTAATACTGATGATTGCCAGCATTTCATTTTGCGTTTGTTGGTCCCATTTATTTATTTTCATGCTATAAAAAAAATGTGCTTATTGTAACCTCTAAGCACATAGTAAATGCCTTCTCTGCGCGATTGAAAATCGCTTTTAGTAACCAAGCGAAGCAGATTAGAGAGGGAAAAAATAAGTCACATTTCCATTTACTCTTAGTTACTCCATACAAGGCCTTATTATGTTTACAGTTGTCTGCCTTTTCAAGCTTTATTCACTACAGCCAGGCCCATCTCTAAAATACTGTCTTTATGTGTCATGCAACTGTTTATTCTCCTTTCATGTCACAGTTTGGGGAAGGGCAGGTACAATGTACAGTAAAACTCCATTAGTCTGGCATCCAATGCTCTAGCACTCCTGATGGTCTGGCACCACCAGGAACCCGGAAGTGCTGGGGGCAGCCGGACAATTGGAGCTGCTCTGCACCCGGCTTCCACGATTCAGCAACTGCTGAAACTGACCAGCAGCTGAATCGGGGAAGCCGGGGGCAGAACAGCTGGGGGGCCGCCCG